GTATAAAAAGTTAGTTAGGGGAAATATCTCTAATAACCTAAATGCACTAATTGTTAGTGGCTATAAACATGACTTTACTAATAGTGGCTCCGTTACAAGTATAAGAACAACCAGCTAAATCAATGAGTGAAACTGACAAAAACTAGCAAAGTTATTGACGTTGTGTGTATTCAAACACAGTTTTTCTCTGAATATCATGTTGTAAGGAAAAATGATGTTTATTGAACCATTCGAAGTTCTTTTCTGTTTACAAAATCAAAATATGACCGAATTAGGTAGATACCAGTATTTCAGCCATGCAAGACCTACCATCTGCCTGTAGCTAGTATTATTCAAGGATGTGAATTCACTTCTTTCACTTTATAGTTTTTGTGTGAATTTTTGGTCACGACTGGCTGGAGGGTGTGGGCGGGGTCAGGTAGATTGAGAAGTCTGTTTAAAGCTATCCTAAGGATATATTGGAGGGGCTTATCCAGATGGTCCTGCCTGTATTGACCCATGGCTAGGCTTCTCAAGTCAACCCACTTGACTGGGGGAAGAGCACGCCCTCTGGTGTCCTGCTGAAGGAGGTGTAGGTCCTCTGGTGTCCTGGTGATGGAGGTGTAGGTCGTCTGGTGTCTTGCTGATGGAGATGTATGTCCTCTGGTGTCCTGGTGATGGAGGTGTAGGTCCTCTGGTGTCTTGCTGATGGAGATGTATGTCCTCTGGTGTCCCGGTGATGGAGGTGTAGGTCCTCTTGGGTTCTGCTGATGGAGGTGTATGTCCTCTAGTGTCCTGCTCATAGAGGTGCTGATCCTCTCGTGTCCTTCCTGAAGAAGGTGTATATCCTCTGGTGTCCTGCTGATGGAGGTGTAGGTCCTCTGTTGTCCAGCTGATGGAGTTGTAGGTCCTATGGAATTTAGATGGTAGATGTGTGATTATTGTGTGCTTGAAGATTATAGAGGTATGGGTTGTAGAGGTATGTGTTGTAGATGTATGTGTTGAAGAAGTATGTGTTGTAGAGGTATATGTTGTACAGGTATATATTGTAGAGGTATGTGTTGTAGAGGTATGTGTTATAGTAGTATGTGGTGTACGGGTATGTGCTGTAGAGGTATGACTAGCGAGGTCATCCTAAAACTATATCTTGCACTTGTAAGACTTCACTTGGATTACACAGTTCAATTCTGGTCACCATACTACAGAATGGATATAGAATCTCTAGAAAGAATTCAGAGGAGAATGACAAGACTAATCCCGGGCATTAGCAACCTTCAGTACAGAGACAGGTTAAGGCATCTTAATTTGCACTTCTTTGAGAGTCGTAGAATGAGAGGCAATATGATCGAAGTGTATAAATGGAAGTCAGGGCTAAACAAAGTTTACATTACAAAGGTACTCAAACTATCTAACCAAGAGCAAACTCGTAACAATGGTTTTAGATTAGACCAATTTAGATTTAGGCGCGAAATAGGCAAACATTGGTTTGAAAATAGAGAAGTGGATGAATGGAATAAGTTACCAAACATCATCATTAACTCGAATACGCTGGATAGCTTCAAACAGAGGTTGAATGGATATATGAGCAATAGGGGTTGGGTGTAAATGAGACTGCCTAGTATGGGCCAATAGGCCTGCTGGAGTTTCCTCCATTCTTCTGTTCTTATGTGTTGTAGAGGTATGTGTTGTAGAGGTATGTGTTGTAGAGGTATGTGTTGTAGAGGTATGTGTTGTAGAGGTATGTGTTGTAGAGGTATGTGTTGTAAAGGTATGTGTTGTAAAGGTTTGTGTTGTAGAGGTATGTGTTGTACAGGTATGTGTTGTAGAGGTATGTGTTGTAGAGGTATGTGTTGTAAAGGTTTGTGTTTTAGAGGTATGTGTTGTAGAGGTATGTGTTGTAGAGGTATGTGTTGTAGAGGTATGTGTTGTAAAGGTTTGTGTTTTAGAGGTATGTGGGTGCATGTACAGTAAAGCATGTGTTGGTAAAATAGCTCAGGTTGTAGAGGTATGTGTTGTACAGGCATGTGTTGTATAGATGTGCTGGCAGAGGCATGTGTTGGTAGAGGCATGTGTTGTAAAGGCATGTGTTGCAGATGCAGTGGTTAAAGGTTCTCAGGTTTCAGGAGGGTACTGTGTTGTAGAGGCATGTGTTGCAGAGGCATGTGTTGTAGAGGCATGTGTTGCAGAGGCATGTGTTGCAGAGGCATGTGTGTTGGAAGGCAATGGTAGAGGCATGTGTTAGTAGAGGCATGTGCTGGTAAAGGGCTCAGTTGGTAGCTATGTGCTGCAGAGGCATGTGTCAGGTAGAGCATTGTGGTGGGTGGTGCAGTGTGCAGAGAGGCATGTGTTGCAGAGGCATGTGCTGTGGTATGCATGTGTCAGAGGCATGTGCTTGCAGAGCCATGTGTTGCAAAGGCATGTGCTGGGGAGATACATGTACAGAGAGGCATGTGTTGTAGAGGCATGTGTGTTGCAGAGGCATGTGCTGCAGAGCATGTGCTTGTAGAGCATGTGTTGCAGAGGCATGTGTTGTAGAGGCATGTGTTGCAGAGGCATGTGCTGGGAGAGGCATGTGTTGCAGAGGCATGTACAGAGGCATGTGTTGCAGGAGGCATGTACAGAGGTATGTGTTGTAGATGCATGTGTTGTAGAGGCATGTGTTGGTAGATAATGTGCTGTAGGCACATGTGCTGTAGAGGCATGTGTTGTAGAGGCATGTACAGAGAGCATGTGTGGTTAGAGAGGCATGTGTTGTAGAGCATGGCTTTTAGAATATATGTTTAGCAGGCATGGGTTTGTAGCTACGTGCTGGTAGAGCATGTGTTTTAGAGCTATATGCTTGCGCAGGCATGCGTTTTAGAAGCATGTGTTGTAGATATGTGTTTTAGAGGCATGTGCTGTGTATTGGCATGTTGTAGAGGTATGTGTTGCAGAGTGTGTGTTGTAAAAGGCATGTGTTTTGAAGCATATGTCAGCAGGTATGTGTTTTAGAAGCATGTGTTGTAGAGGCATGTGTTGTAGAGGCATGTGCTGTAGAGGCATGTGCTGGTACAGGCATGTGCAGGTGAGGCATGTGCCAGAGTGGCATGTGCTGTGTTGCTTGAAAGTTTTAGAGGCATGTGTTGCACAGGTGCTGTGTTGGGTACAGGCATGTGTTGGTACAGGTATGTGTTGTAGAGGCATGTGTTGGTAAAAGGCATGTGTTGCAAAGGTTTGTGCAGTAGAGGCATGTGCTGGTAAAGGCTCAGTTGTAGAGGCATGTGCTGTGGGAAGGTATGTGCTGTAGAGGCATGCAAATAGAGGCAGCATGTGTTGCAGAGGGGCATGTGTTTGTAGAAGCATGTGTCAAGAGACATGTGTTGTAGAGGCATGCACAGAGATATGTAGCGAGAGATATGTGCTGTAGAGGGGTAAGGTTGTGCAGAAGATGTGTTGCAGAGGCATGTACAGAGATAAGCATGTGTTGTGTGCTGCATGTGTTTAGGAGGCATGTGTTGCAAAAGGCATGTGTTGTGTGCTGCATGTGTTGTAAAGGTTCAGGTTTTGAGAGGCATGTGTTGTGGGTTTGTGGGTTGCAGAGGCATGTGTTGGTAAAAGGGGTATGTACAGGTGCAGGTTTTAGGAGGCATGTGTTGGTAACAGGCATGTGTTGTAGATAGCATGTGTTGTAGAGGCATGTACAGAGGCATGTGTTGTAGAGGCATGTGTTGCAGAGGCATGTGTTGTAGAGGCATGTGTTGTAGAGGCATGTGTTGTAGAGGCATGTGTTGCAGAGGCATGTGTTGTAGAGGCATGTGCTTGCAAGGCATGTGTCAGTAAAGGTATGTGTTTTAGGAGGCATGTGTTGCAATAGTGGCATGTGTTTTAGGAGGGCATGTGTTGTAAAGGCTCAGTTTTAGAAGTACGTGTTGGTAAAATATTCAGGTTTTGAGAGGCATGTGTTGTAAAGCATGTGTTGTAGAGGTGGCTGTGTCAGGTAGCGTGGCTACAGAGGGCATGTGTTGCAGAGGCATGTGCTGGTGGAAGGCATGTGCTGTAGAGGCAAGGTGTCATAGAGGCATGTGTTGCAGAGGCATGTGTCAGAAGTAATGGTTGTAGAGGGCATGTGTTGGTAGATATGTGTTGTAGCTGCTCAGGTTTAGAGGCATGTGTTGTAGAGGTGTGTGCTGTGCTGGCCATAGGGGTTGCAGAGCATGTGTTGCAGAGGCATGTGTTGCAGAGGCATGTGCTGGTAGAGGCATGTGTTGGGTGGTGTTGGCTCAGGCTCAGGAGGCATGTGCTTGCAGAGGCATGTGTGTCAGAAGGGTCAGGGTTGTAGAAGCATGTGTTGTAGAGGCATGTGTTGCAGAGGCATGTAGTCAGAAGAGGCATGTGTTGTAGAGGCATGCAGGTTGGTATACAGTTCTTTAGGAGGCATGTGTTGTAGAGGCATGTGTTGTGGAGGAGGCATGTGCTGGTAAAAGGCTTCAGGTTTTAGAGGCATGTGTCAGAGAGGCATGTGGCTGTGTGCTGGCTAGGTTGCAGAGGCATGTGTTGCAGAGGCATGTGCTGGGCAGAGGCATGTGTTGCAGAGGCATGTACAGAGGCATGTGTTGTGTGCTGCTCAGGAAGGTTTAGACATGTACAGGAGGCATGGTTGTAAAGGCTCAGGTTGTAGAGGCATGTGTTGTAGAGGTGCTGTGTTGTAGAGGGGCTGTGCTTGTAGAGGCATGTACAGGCATGTGTTGCAAAGGTTTCAGGTTTTAGAGGGGTAAGCAAAGGTTGTAGAGGTTGTGTTGTAGAGGTCAAGCTGCACAGGCATGAGCTTGTAGAGGCATGTGTTGTAAAGAGCTCAGGTTTCAGAGGCATGTTGCAAAGGCATGTGGTTTAGGACATGTGCTGGTGTAGGCCAGAGAGGCATGTGCTGTAAAGGCATGCTGTAGAGGAAGTATGTGTTGTAGAGGCATGTGGTTGCAGAGGCATGTGTTGTAGAGGCATGTGTTGTAGAGGCATGTGTTGTAGAGGCATGTGTTGGTAGAGGCATGTGTTGCAGAGGGGCATGTGTCAGAGAGGCATGTGTTGTAGAGGGCATGTGTCAGGAAGCTGCATGTGTTGTAGAGGTATGTGTTGTAGAGGCATGTGTTTTAGAGGCATGTGTTGCAGAGGCATGTGTCGTAAAATGCATGTTTTAGGAGGCATGTGTCAGAGATAAGTGTGCTGTAGAGGCATGTGTTGCAGGAGGCACATGCAGAGGCATGTGTTGCAGAGGCATGTGTTGTAGACATGTGTTTTAGAATACACAGCAGGCATGTGTTTTAGGAAGCATGTGTTGCAGATAAGCATGTGTTTTAGGCCACATGTGGTAGAATGTGTTTTAGAGGTATGTGTTGCAGAGGCATGGCAGGGTAGAGGTATGTGTTGTGCAGGCATGTGTTGTAGAGCATGTGTGTGTTGTAGAGGCATGTCATAGGCTGCATGTGGTTTAGAAATATCAGAGGCATGTGTTTTAGAAGCACGTGCTTGCAGAGGCATGTGTCCAGAGGCTGTGTTGCAGAGGCATGTGTTGCAGGCATGTGGCTGTACAGGCATGTGCTTGCAGAGGTGGCTGTGTTGCAAAAGGCTCAGGTTTAGGAGGCATGTGTCAGGGGCAGGGGATGTGCTGTACAGGCATGTCAAGCAGTACAGGGGCATGTGTTGCAGAGGCATGTACAGTGTGCTGGGCATGTGCTGTGCTCAGGTTGCAGAAGCATGTGCTGTAAAAGGCATGTGCTGTAGAGGCATGTGTTGTGTGGCTCAGGCTGAGAGGCATGTGTTAAAGAGGCATGTGTTGTAGAGGCATGTTGCAGAAGCATGAGTTGTAGAGATAAGGTGGCTGGTAGAGGCATGTGTTGTAGAGATATGTGTGTTGCAGAGATATGTTGTAGAGAGGTAAGGGGTTGTAAAAATGGCATGTGTTGTAGAGGCATGTTGTAGAGGCATGTGGTTGTAGAGGCATGTGTTTTAGGAGGCATGTGTTGTACAGGCATGTGTTGCATGCATGTGTTGCAAAGGCTCAGGTTTTAGGAGGCATGTGTTGGTAAAGGCTCAGGGCTGGTACAGGCATGTGCTGTGTAGAGGCATGTGTTGTAAAGGCTCAGGTTTTAGAGGCATGTGTTGCGGCCAGGCATGTGCAGAGTGCTGTGTTGCAGGGCATGTGTCAGAGGCATGTGCTGCAGAGGCATGTGTTGTAGAGGCATGTACAGAGGCATGTGTTGTAGAGGCATGTGCTGTAGAGGCATGTGTGGGTTGTAGGAGGCATGTGGTTGAGTTGCATGCATGTAAAGGCATGTGTTGGTAAAGTTGCTCAGGTTTTAGAGGCATGGTGCAGTAACAGGCATGTGTTTTAGAGGCATGTGTTGTAGATGTTTCAGGTTTTAGGAGGAGAAGGTGTTTGCAGAAGATTTCTGTGTTTTAGAGGCATGTGTGTTGTGGGGGCCAGCATGTGTTTTAGAGGCATGTGTTGTAAAGGCATGTGGGTTGTAGAGGTGCATGTTGTAGAGGCATGTGTTGTAGAGGTGCTGTGCTTGTAGAGGCATGTGTTGTAGAGGCATGTGTTGGTAAAAGGCTTCAGGTTTTAGGAGGCATGTGCCAGAAAGAGGCTGTGTTGGTAGAGGCATGTGTTGTAAAGGTATGTGTTTTAGAGGTATGTGTTGTAGCTGGGTTTGTGTTGTGAGAAGCATGAGCTGTAGAGGTATGTGTTGTAGAGGCATGTGATTGCTGGTAGAGGCATGTGTTGTAGAGGCATGTGTGTCAGAGGCATGTGCTTTTAGGATAGCATGTGTTGTAGAGGCATGTGTTGTAGAGGCTCAGGCTGGTGGTGGATGTGGCGAGGCAGGCTTGTTGCAATGGCATGTCAGAGTATGTGTTGCAGAGGCATGTGTTGCAGAGGGGCATGTGCTGTAAAGGCTCAGGTTTTAGAGGCATGTGTTGTAGAGGGCTCAGGTTGCAGTAGGGTCATGTGCTGCAGAGGCACATGTGTTGCAGAGGCATGTGCTTGCAGAGTGCATGCGCTTGCAGAGGGCTGCTGCAGAGCGTTATGCGTTTTCAGAGGGCATGTGTTGCAGAGGGGCATGCGCTGCGGTGCTGCCTGCGGGTTTTGAGATAAGCATGCGTTGCAGATAGTTACGTGTCAGAGGGGCATGCGTACAGATGTACGTGCTGGTGAGGCATGTACGTGAGCGGGCATGCGTTGCAGAGGCGTGCGTTGCAGAGGCGGCTGGCTGGTGTGCTGGGTCAGTTTGAGGCATGTTGCGTCAGGTGATGCGGCTGCGTGCAGGAGGCATGTAGCCAGATGGCATGCGTTGCAGAGGCATGTGCAGAGGCCGTGTGCCAGATATCAGGGTTTAGGATAAGTACGTTGCAGAGGCATGTGTTGTAGAGGCATGTGTCAGTATGTACGTGCCAGAGGCATGTGCTGCAAAAGGCCCAGGTTCTTTGAGATGTACTGCGCTGGTAAATTGCGTGTGGTTGTAGGAGGCATGCGTCAGGTATGGGCACGTTGCAGAGGCATGTGCTGCAGAGTGGCATGTGCTGTAGAGGCATGTGTCAGGCGCATGTGTCGGTGCAGAGGCATGTGTCTGCAGAGGCATGTGTCAGGTGAGGCATGTGTTGCAGAGGCATGTGTTGCAGGAGCACGTACAGCAGAGTGCGTCGTGCTGCAGAGGCATGTGCTTGCAGAGGCGATGCGGTTGCAGAGGCATGCGTCTGAGATAAGTACGTGCTCAAGATGCATGCGTGTTGTAGATACGCGTGCTGCAGATATACGCGTGCTCGGTGGGTACGCGATGCGGTTTGAGGAGGCATGTGTCAGGAGATTACGTGCTGGCAGATATCCGTGCCGCAGAGGCATGTGGCTGCGGGGCAATGCGTCGAGGATGGCTGCCAGGTGATAGGTACGTGCCTTATACGTGCTTGCAGATGCGATGCGCTGCAGGTCGCACGGCCTGAGAGAGGCATGTGTCAGGTAGGCATGCGTTGCAGATGCGTCGCGCTGGTAAAATGCATGCGTTGCAGGAGGCATGCTGGTGGTATGCGGTAGACAGCTGCGCTGCAGAGGGGGCATGTGCTTGCAGAGGCATGCGTGCTGGTGAGGGGTACGTGCTGTAGAGAGGGGCATGTGCTGGTAGAGGCATGCGTTGCAGAGGGCATGTGCTGCAGAGGCATGTGCTGTAGATGGGCACGCGGTTTGAGAGTGCGGCTGCGGTTGTGGTGAGGGGCATGTGGGTTGTAGAGGCATGTACGAGCATGTGCTGGTAGAGGCGTGTTTTGCAGAGGCATGCGTTGCAGAGTGTGGCCAGGTTGCAGATGGGCCGTGTCAGAGAGGCATATGCTTGCAGAGGCACGTGCCAGAAAGAGGCATGTGCTGCAGAGTAGTGGTGCAGTAGCACGTGTCAGTAAGAGGCATGTGCCAGATACGCTGTAGAGGCATGCCGGTAGAGGCATGTCAGTAGAGGCATGTGTCAGAGAGAGGCATGTGCTTGCAGATGTATGTGCTGATAGATGGGCTCATGCTTGCAGAGGCATGTGCTGGTGGGGCTGGCAGGCAGAGATGGCATGTGTCATACAGGCTCAGGCCAGAAGCATGTGTCAAGAGGCATGTGTTGCAGAGGCATGTGTTGCAGAGGTATGCAGAGAGGCATGTGCTGCAGAGGCTGTGTTGGTAGAGGCATGTGCTGTAGAGGCATGTGCCGGGTGCTGGCTCAGGCTGGTGTGCTGCTAGAGGCTTGTGCTGTAAAGCTGGAAAGCATGTGTTGCAGAGGCATGTGCATGGAGAGGCATGTGTTGTAGAGGCATGTGTTGCAGAGGCATGTGTGTACAGAGGCATGTGTTGGTAAAGGCTAGGCTGGTGAAGCATGTACAGAGGCATGTGTCAGAGGCTCAGGATGTAGAAGCTACGTGTAGAGGCATGTGTTGCAGAGGCACGTGCTTGGGTAGAAGGCTCAGGCAGAAGCCAGAGATATACGTGCTGTGAGGCATGTGCTGTAGAGGGCATGTGCTGTGGGTATTGGTCAGGCCAGGCGAGCTGGCGTGCCAGAGATAGTAGTGGTGGCAGGCCACGTGCAGGCAGATAACATGTGTCAGGCGGTACTACGTACTGTGTGCTGGGCTCAGGCTGGTAGAAGCCACGTGTTGCAGATAGTACGTGCTGGTAGCTACGTGCTGCAGAGGCATGTGCTTGCAGAGCATGTGCTGCAGAGGCATGTGTTGCAGAAGCGGCAGGTTGTAGATACCAGTTGCAGTGAAGCGGCCGTGCTGTAGAGGTACGTACAGGGTATGTGCTGGAGAGGCATGTGTTGCAGAGGCATGTGTTGCAGAGGCTACGAGCTGGTGAGTAATGTGTTGCAGAGGTACGTGCTGGTAGAGGCATGTGCTTGCAGATGAACGTGCTTGCAGAGGCTACGTGCTGTAGAGGCATGTTGCGGTGGCTGGCATGTGTTGGTAGGCCAGGAGCTTGCAGAGGCATGGCGTTGGGTAAGATAATGCCGGTAGAGGCATGTCAGGTAGCCACGAGCCAGATGCATGCGCTGCAGATATGTGTCAGAAGCTACGAGGCTGGGAGAGGCATGTGCTTGCAGAGGCATGTGCTGCAGAGGCATGCGTGCTGGTGGCGGGTAAGTGCTGGCAGGCATACGTTGCAGAGGGGCATGTGCCAGAGGCATGCATTGCTGGAGGCATGTGTTGCAGAGGCAGCTGCAGAGGCATGTGCTTGCAGAGCGCATGTCAGGAGGCATGTGCTTGTAGAGGCATGGTTGCAGGCATGCGTCTTAGGAGGCATGTGCTGGCAGAGGCATGTGTTGCAGAGGCATGTGTTGCAGAGGACGTGTTGTAGAGGCATGTGTCAGGTGGAGAGGCATGTGCTGTGAGAGGCATGCTGTAGAGGCATGTGTCAGGAGTGCGGCGTGTTGCAGAAGCTACGTGTCAGGTGAGGCATGCGGCCAGAAGAGGCATGTGTCTGTAGAGGCATGTGCTTGCAGAGGGCATGTGGCCAGAGGCATGCCTGTAGAGGCATGTGTTGCAGATAGTACGGTTGTAGAGGCATGTGCTTGCAGAGGCATGCGTTTGCAGATAGTACGTGCAGGTGATAAGTAGGTGTTGCAGAGGCATGCACAGAGGCATGTGCTGTAGAGGCATGTGTTGTAGAGGCATGTGCTGCAGAGGCATGGGGTTGGTGGTAGAGTGTGTTGCAGAGGCATGTGCTGGTAGAAGCTACGTGCTGTAGAGGCATGTGCCAGAGGCATGTGTTGCAGAGGCATGTGCTGCAGAGGCATGCGGCATGTGCTGTAGAGGCATGTGTTGTAGAGGCATGTGTTGCAGAGGCATGTGCTTGCAGAGGCATGTACAGAGGCATGTGTCAGGAGAGGCATGTGTTGCAGAGGCATGTGAGTGTGGTTGCAGAGGCATGTGCTGTAGAGGCATGTGTTGTAGAGGCAGTGCTGTAGAGGCATGTGTTGCAGAGGCATGTGCTGTAGAGGCATGTGCCAGGAGGTGTGCGCTGCAGAGGCATGTGCTGGTGGAGGCATGTGCTCAGAGAGCATGTTGCAGAGGCATGCGTTTGCAGAGGCATGTGCTGTAGAGGCATGCGCTGGTGATGTACGTGCTTGCAGAGGGCATGTGTCAGATAATGTACAGAGATATACGTGCTTGCAGAGGCATGCGGTTGCAGAGGCATGTGCTGGTGGTAGGGCTACGTTGCAGAGGCATGTGCTGCAGATGCGGCTGCGTTGGTGAGAGGGTACGTGCTGGTAGAGTGCATGTGTCAGCAGAGGGGTACGTACAGAGGCATGTGGCCAGAGTGGTGAGGCGCTGCAGAGCGCATGGTTGCAGATAGTAATGTACTGCGGCGGCATGCGGTGAAAGATGTACGCGGCCAGCAGATGTATTGCGTTGCAGATGGCTAGGCCAGAGGTACGTGCTGCAGAGGCATGCCGAGTGCATGCGCTTGCAGGAGGGGCACGTGTCAGAGATAAGTACGTGCTGGTAGAGATGCGGCTGCGCAGCAGAGCGCGCGTCAGGTGAGCGTACGTACAGAGATAGCATAAACAGGCGGCATGCGGCTTGCAGATGCACACGCTGCAGATGCACGTGCCTGCAGGATAAGTACGTGCCTGGCAGATAGGCCGCGCCGGTAAGATAATGCGCTTGCAGAGTACGTGCTGCAGATACGCACAGAGGCATGCGGTTGGTAGATAATGCGTTGCAGATAAGCATGTGGCAGAGGCAATGCGTGTTGCAGAGGCATGTGCTGGTAGAAGCACGATTGCAGAGGCATGTGTCAGAGGCATGTGTTGCAGAGGCATGCGTTGCAGAGGCATGTGGTTGTAGAGGCATGCGTTGCAGATAGTGCGCAAGCAGATGTACGTGCTGGCAGAGGCATGTGTTGCAGAAGCATGTGTCAGGAGTAGCAGGTTGCAGAGGCGGCTGCAGAGGTAGCTACGTGCTGTAGATAGTACGTGTCAGGAAGCAGTACGTGTTGCAGATAGGGTTGCAGAGGCATGCGTTGCAGAGGCATGCGTTGCAGAGGCATGTGTCATAGAGTGCGCCGTGTTGCAGGAGGTGCGTGTCAGGATACGCGTTGCAGATGCAGGCAACAGCAGAGGCGGGCATGCAGCAGAGGTGCAGTACAGAGGCACAAAATAGAGGCATGTGTCAGGTAGGCTACGTGCTGTGGTGAGGCATGTGCTGTAGAGGCATGTGCTGGTAGCATGTGCTGGGAGTGGGCATGTGTCAGAGGCATGTACAGAGGCATGTGCCAGAGAAGCATGTGGGAGAGGCATGGTGCTGGTAGAGGTACAGGTTGCAGGGCATGTGTCATGCAGAGGCATGTCAGGTGCTGTCTAGTTGTGAGAAGCATGTGCTGCAGAGGCTGTACTTGAGGAGGCACAGGTTGTAGAGGCATGTGCTGGGTAGAAGCACATGCTGTAGAGACATGTGTTGTAAAGGCTTGTGCTGCAGAAGCATGTGCTGTAGAGGCATGTGTTGTAAAGGTATGTGTTGGTGGGTGAAGCATGTGTTGTAGAGGCATGTGTTGTAGAGGTGTTTTAGGAGGCATTGTAAAAGGCTCAGGCTGGAGAGGCATGTGTTGCAGAGATATGCATGGTAGAAGCTTACGCCAGTAGAGGCAT